GCCCCCGTCCGTCCCGCAGCGCCCCTTGACCGCTTGTTCCCCCGCCCCCAGAGCAAGGAGGAGGTGATGGCCGTGCGCCTGAGGGAGGCGGACAGCATGGCGGCGGTGGCCGAGATGCGGCAGCGCATCGCCGAGCTGGAAATCCAGGTAAGCGGCGGGGCCGGGGCTGGGGCCGGGCTGCGGGGCGGGACCCCGCGCTGAAGTCCGGCGACCTGGCCCGCCCGCAGAGGGAGGAGGGCCGCATCCAGGGCCAGCTGAACCACTCGGACTCGTCGCAGTACATCCGCGAGCTCAAGGACCAGATCGAGGAGCTGAAAGCCGAGGTGAGCGCGGGAGGGGCGTAAGAGCCCCGGTGTCCTCGGCCGGTGACGGGCCGGGAATCGGCGCCTCGGGGAGCGGGAGAGGAGGGGGCCAGGCGGCCGGACTCCGTCCGTGGGTACGTCGGTCCACGCCTCCAGCGCGCGGGTCCCCCGCCCCAGGTGCGGCTTCTGAAGGGCCCGCCGCCCTTCGAGGACCCACTGGCCTTCGACGGGCTCGGCTTGGCACGGCACCTGGATGAGGACTCGCTGCCGTCGTCGGACGAGGAGCTGCTCAGCGTGGGCGTGGGCGCGGCGCTGCAGGACGCGCTCTACCCGCTGTCCCCGCGCGACGCGCGCTTCTTCCGCCGTCTGGAGCGGCCGGCCAAGGACAGTGAGGGCAGCTCAGACAGCGATGCCGACGAGCTGGCCGCACCCTACAGCCAGGGCCTGGACAACTAAGGCAGTGCCCCACGTGCTCGGAGCCCGGGGCCGCCGCCTGCCCGCTCCTTGGCCGCCGCCCGCACTTAACAAACTCCAGGCCCTCGGTGGTCCCGCCCACCCCGAGGGCCAGGACCAGCGCGGCAGGGCGAGGAGGGTAGGACCGAAGTCTGGGGATCCTGAGTCCCCTGGCAGGCCCACTCTCCCCAGCAGTGTTTACCCATCTTGGTCCGTAGCCCTCTGGGCCCAGTTACCTGGAGGGTCTGCCCCTCTTAACAGCCAGGGCAGGGGCGGACCCAGGGGTCCCAGGACTGGAGGAGCAGGAACCTCCCCCCTCCTAGCTGGCCTCCTTCTGTGACAAGGGTGGCCCGGCTGGGAAAGACCCAGAAGCTAGAGGAGGCCTGAGGAAGAAGAGGCCGCTCTAGGCCTGTTGTTACAACCCTGTGCCACCCTCGGGACCCTTGGCCTCTGGGGACAGATGGCCAGGCTGGGTTTTCCTGCCTGGGGCAGGCATTGTGGCCCCTGCGACAGAAACCAAAGCCCCCCCTACTGTGTGCAGGGCCGCGCAGGGTGTGGTGGCCAGCCGGAACCAGCCAGGGCCTGGGTAGTGTCTGTCCCTGCTTCTTGGGGGCCAAAGCAGCTGTAAGGAAGTGAAGAGGCCCCCCTCTCCCCAGCACACCACATCTCCCTCTGTGACAGTTCCATCACCCCAGCCTGGCCAGTGATGAAGGGGCTCCCCGACCCAGGCTAGCCTCCTCTCCAGGGGGTCCCCAGCCTCCACTTCCGTTCCTTCTCAGTATCCCCGGCCCCACTCTCCGGCCAGAGCCAGGCCCCAGGGGAGGAGGCCTCCCAGTTGAGTTGCCTCCCCGCGCCTGCTCATGGTGGTCCCGTGGTCTCTGCTGAGTCAGAACCAAGAACGGTGCCAAAATCCAACGATGCCCCCAGACCCCTGCCCCCTGGGGCCTCACGACCCTCAGGCTGACCCTCTCGGTGCTCCTGGAGCCTAGAGCAGCATCACAAGCAGTCTCCCCGGCACTTCCTGGGGTGGGGATCCATGCTCAGTACCCCCTTCCCGGTCGCCCACTCCTCAGTGTTACAAAGCCTGGGGACCAGGGTGGGCATCCGAGGGGCTCTCCCACGTGCCCCCCACACTGCCCACCACCATTTTGCACACTGCCTGTTCACACTCCACATGTCGCCCAGGCGGGAAAGATGGAAAATAAAGTGTATTTACACAGTCACGGACAAGGGATGCTGAGTGGGGCAGGCCTTGGGGTAGGGGAATCACCAGCAGCCATGGGTCCCCGGCCCCTTGTCCAGTGAAGCAGCAGGGAAGGGAGCAGGCTGTCCTTGCCCTTGGGAGCCTCCCACCTCTAAGAGAACCAGAGGTGGAGGTCATAGCACGCCAGTGCGGGTGGGGGTGGGGGGGCAAAGAGGCTGTCCAGGTCGGGTGCAGCATGGAAGAGGAAAGGACATTCACACGTACAGTGTGAGCATAAGTGTGGGCGTCGGAAGAGACGGTTAGTATTGTAGGAACGAGTCACCAAGGACCTGGGACGTCAGGCGTAGGGGCAGACCCTTAGAGCAGGGCATTTTCAGGAGGGTGTCTCTGGAGATGGGGAGGGAGGATGGGCCATGATTTCCCATCATGGGTGACTGGGTGACTGGGTGACTCAGCTGGGGCCTCCCCTGAGAGACACAGGGAATGAAGGGTCTTAGGGCCTCAGGAAGATTCAGTATCTGGTTTATTCAGCACCCACTTCCCAAGGCCTTCCGGGTGCTCCACTGTGCCTGGTTCTGAGGGGTCCCAAGTGTAGTGGAGCAGACAGACATTGGGGTGGGGGCGGGGACTTAGCCTGCACAGTAGTGTGGCAAGTGCCTAGACGAATGTGTAAGGAGATCAGGGAAGGCTTCCTGGAGGAGGGGGGCGGGGATCTGCAAGGGCATAAGCATAACGGTGAGACGTGGCAGGGACCAGCAGGAGGCACATGAGGTCTGTGAAGAAGGAACAGGAGAGAGTGGGCATGGCCAGACCGGGAAGGGGTTTTTCTAGTCAGGAGAAAGAGTTTGCACTATGAACTAAGGGCGCTGGGGAGCCATGGAGGGCTTAGGTGAGAGGGGCACCATCAGGTAGACTACAGTGTTGGGGGGCAGTGCAGAGGCAAAACAGCCAGGCAGTGGGGGGTTCCCCTGGGGGAAGAAGGCCCGGAGAGGCAGCATCCTTTGTGGGGTTGCCCATGGAGCTGAGACGGAGTCCCAGTTAGCGGGTGACACAGCCAGGAGCAAAGGAAGGCTTCCTAGGAGGAGACATTTAATTGGGTCCAGCCAGGTGCCAGCCAGGCCCTACCCTCTACACCCAGTGTGGACCCACCAAGTGTCCCCCACTCTGCTGCCTGATACCTGCCAAGCGGCAGGGCAGGACACTGGTTATGCACCAGGACAGCCGAACCCCAGCTCTATTCCCTCCCACAACAGCTCCTGTGGGCCCATGCATCATTCCCATCACACAGATTCAACACTGAGACCCTGACAGTTGCTGTCTGCCTCTCCTGTTGCCACCGGGTAGCAGGTGGCTCCAGCTGGCTGGCTCCCAGGAGGGGGCATGGCCTTGGGGGAAGTGTCTGAGGTTCTGCCCTGCTCCCTCACAGGGGCTGGCCTTGGAGACCTGGCTGCCCAGCATGTCAAGAGTCAGCCCCTACCCTTGGGCTTGTCTCAGCATCTGGAAACAAGGACACCTGGGTTCTCACCAGGGCCCAGCTTAAAAAAGAGACCTCTGTGGACTTCCCTGGCAGTCCAGTGGTTAAGACTCTGCACTTCCAATGCAGGGTGCATGGGTTCGATCCCTGGTCAGGAGAACTAAGATCCCACATGCCACTAGGTGTGGCCAAAAAAAAAAAAAAAAAAAAAGGAACTTCTGTAGTTTGCCACCTAACTGATTGGCTCCCAGGGGTGGAGGTGGCAGTGTCCCACTGTGACAGCGCCAATGTCTCTTCAGACCCCAGGTTGGGAGGCAGCCGCTTTTGGGGTGGGGGACAGGCAGGACTTGGCGATTCCTGTCTGACAGGAACCTGGCTTCAGGGACTGGGTCTAGGAGCAGAGATAGGGCTGAGTGCCCAACACAGGGTCCCACTCTGTCCTTCTACCTGCCCCGGGGATTGTGGTTCCCCTCGGGCCTCCATCATTCTTGGTCTGAAGCAGGACACCCTCAGGGAGGGAAGGCTTAAGGGGTGCATTTCTGGCAGGGGCACTTGGAAAGGAGAGCCTGGGCTGGGGCTTAAAGGGTCCAGGGTCAGGGTGACTGGACTGTGGGAGAGCAAGGAATTCTGACTGGGGGAGACAAGTGAAGACATTGGTTGGCTCTGGTGAGGACCCTTGACTCTGGAACACAGGCAAGAATGCCTGGCTGGAGGGGCTTGGGGAGGACGCCCGAAGTTGGGATGAAAGGCGAGGCCCATGGTTGGGAGGCACAGAGGGGCATGATGAGGGCACCTGGAGAAGAGTGGGCATTGTGAGGACTCCCTGATCTCCCACCCAGCCTTGGGAGAGGCTGCTCCTTCCCTGCAGGCCCTCCTAGTGCGGTCCTCCCAGGAGGCAGGGAATGCCCTTCATGAGCCCTGGACCCAGCTGCAGGCCCGCCTTTTGCACTGCAGCCTCCTCGGTGAGCAGAGGGCAGTGTGCGCGCTTGAGAGGCCCTAGAGGGACCCAAGATGGCCATGGGTCTCAGGCCACCCGTCTCCCTCCTACACCCCAGGGTGTGCAAAGTAGGGCGGTGCACACTGTGAGGAGGGACCTCAGGAAGGGCCCCGCCCCCTTGGATCCAAGCAAGTCTTTCCCACGTCTTTCCCCTCCCCCCAGGAGTGCGCGCTCCCCTGGCCGAGCGTGGGAAGAGCTTGGTCAACTGGCCACACGGCCCACGCCTTGCTCACTCGGTCGCGCGGCCCCACCTGGGCCCCTCCTGCACTTAATTTTTCCATGAGAAATTGGGCATGAGAAAACCTACGTTCACAAACGCGGGTGAGTGCGCGGCGCTGGACCACGGGGACTCGGCATCGCCTGGTCCCACCCCAGCCCCTCCTCGCGCGACCCTATCCTCAGTGGAGAAGACGCAAGGCCGGGGAGTGTTCGGGAAGGCCTTCAACCAGAGCTACAACCTGCTGTGCACAGCTGCCAGCACAGCCCGGCCCGGACCCTCTCGCCGCCCTGCGGTCAGCTGCGCCGCTGAAGGGCCCCAGCCCGCGACCGCGAAGGCGAAAGTGAACAGGCTTCAGTGTCCCGGCTTTATTGCAAACTCGGGCTGCGCGCGGTAGACGATACACTGGACTCCAGGCAGGGCCTAGGCCGAGGGAGGGACGAGGCTCGAGGGGAGCGGGAGCTTGTCCTAAGCCAAAGGGGCGGGGCTCAAGGGTGAGCCTTGGCCAAAGGTGTGGGTGGGTCGCAAGTCTGGGCCAAAATTCTAGGGCTCTAAGGGGTCTGAGACCAGTCCACAGGAGCCGGACTCCAGGAGGAGGGGAGGGGGAGATCTAAGACAAAGATGTACAACCTGAGGGACGGATCCTAAGGCAGGGGTGCGGCGGGTGGGCAGGGCTAGGGTCTGGCTCAGTGGAAGGTCTCCACCTCTACCACGGTCCAGTCACCCTGCGGGGAAGTCACGTCATCCGGGGAGAAGCTAGTGACTGAGGTGATGCTGGCGCGGGACTCGTCCAGGGGAGACAATAGTTCGGCCCAGCGGCCCAGTTCGGCGTCGCTGAGCGCAGTGCGGGCTCCCCCCGCGCTGCCGGCACCCCCCGCGTCCCCTGAGCCACCGGTGCCGCCCGCGGCACCCTCGGCCGCAGCTAGCAGCAGCGTCCGGCTCAGCAGGTGCTGCACGACGCTCGCCTGCAGCGCCCCCAGCGGCAGCTCGCCCAGACGCGCCGGCTTCGCTCCCCGCGAAGCCGCTCCAGCCCCAGCCCCAGCCCCAGCCGCCGCCTTCCCACCGCCCGCGCCAGACCCGGGCCCCGGATCCAGCGCGCCTGCGGCGGGAGTCGCCGACTCGGGCCCTTCAGCCTCGTAGATGGTGCACAAGCCGTCAGCAGAGCCCGACCCGGCAGCAGGAGACCAAGGCAGGGGCGCTCCTGCGGGGAGAGGAGCCAGGCTGGGCAAAAGGAGAGGGAAGCCCCGCCCCTGACACAAGACCCCGCCCCTTCCGTCAACTCCGCCCCCAGACCCAACTGTCCTGCCCCCGAGTTGCAAAGCCTCGCCTCCGACCTCGCCCCTCCTACTGGTCCGCAGTGTCCGGAGGGCTGCTTACCTGAGGTGCCGCGGATGGCCAGCGGCGGAGCAGAACCTCGGCTCCAGGCGGCCGGATGGCAGGCGGCGAGCTCCGCATCGGCGGGCGGGGAGGTTGCGGCGCCGCTCTCGGGCCCACTGTCGTAGCCGCGCAGCTCTTCGGGCGTGCTCGTGGCGCTGCTGCTGTGGCCCGCCAGGTCCGGGCCGCTCAGCGTACTGGACGGGCTGCGCGAGGGTGGCGGCGGTGGGCCCGGGGCCAGCGCCAGGGTCAGCCGTGGGCCCGAGATTGGGGCATCGGGACCCGGGGTTGGGGGGCGGCGTGGGGCTTGCAGAGGGGGTGAGGCAGGGGGAGAGGGAGGGGTCTGCAAAGCGGGCAAGGCCAGGGAAGGTGGAGCCCGCGGAGGGGGCGAGGCCAGGGGAAGGGGAGGATCTTGCAGAGGGGGTGAAGCAGGGGGAGAGGGAGGGACTTGCAGAGGGGGTGAAGCGGGGGGAGAGAGAGGGGCCTGCAGAGGGAGCGAGGCCAGAGGAGGTGGAGCCTGCAGAGGAGGCAACCTCTGAGGAGAGGGCGCGGCCTGAAAGGGAGGCGTGGCCAGAGAAGGTGGAGTGTGTGTGGGGGCCACGGCCAGTGGAGGAGAGGCCTGCAGAGGCTGTGAGGCCAGAGATGGTGTCTGTATAGGAGGAGTGGCCTGTAGAGGGGGAGTGGCCAGAGGCGTGGCCAGGGGAGAGGGTGAGCCTAGAGGAGGAGCACCTGGCAGAGAGAGTGGGGTCAGACGAGAGGAAGGGGGAGAGGTCTGTGGAGGGGATATGGCCAGAGAAGGGTCCTGTGTGGGAGGCGTGGCCAGTGTATAAGGCGTGGCCTGAAGAGGTGGCGACAGAGAAGGACCGGCCTGCGGAGGGGGCGTGGGCAGAGCAGAAGGAGCCTGAAGAGGGGGTGTGGTTAGGGAAGAAGACGGGTTCCTCAGAGATGTTGCTTGAGATAGAGGGACTTGTAGAGGGGCAGTGGCTGGTGGCAGAGGACCCGACAAAGGAGGTGTGGCCAAGGGAGAGGGGAGAGCTGGAAAAGGGGGTAAAGCCAAAGACGCCTCGGTGGGGGGCATACTCTGCAGAGCGGGTGAAACTGATGGAGGGACTGAAGTCAGAAAAGTGGCCGTGGCCAAGGAAGAGGCGGATACCTCCGGAAAAGATGTACCCAGATGTGCGGGGGGAGCTTGCAAAGGAGGTGTGGCCGGTGGAGAGGGGAGGGTCGGCAGAGAGGGTGGAGCAGAGGGAGGAGGGGCTAGTGGAGGGGGCGTGGCCAATGGGTGGATATGGGCCTGGGGAGGGGGCGTGGTCGGTGGAGATGGTGGGAGCGAGCCCCTCAAGGGAGTGTCTGTGATATGGGAAGGCGGTGCAATAGGACAGGGTAGGGAGGAGGTGGCCAAAGGAGGAGAAAAGCCCGGTGCGGGGACTGCGCCCTTCCTTGGGGGTGTGGCCTGCGGGGGGCGTAGAGCCTGCAGTCCTCTGGACTTGGGCTGCGAGGGATGCCCCAGAGCCCGGGGTGTTCCAGCCGGGGAAGCCCCGGAGCGGGCTGGGGAGGACAGAGGAGTGGCGCTGGAGCCCAGGGGGCGCAAGGTTGGCCTCTGGAGGCCCCCGCCGGCGCTGGGTCGCCTCCTGGTGGCAGGGCTTGGCTCCGCGGCGCTGCGCTCTGGGGCGCTGCTCACTGATTTTCTGGAAGCCTCGGTCGGGGGCCGGGGCCGGGCACTCGGAGCTGCCCGGGGGACACCCACCTCAGCGCCCGCAGCCCGGGATCGACGGGAGATGGCCGAGGAGGAGACGGCTGGAGTGGACCCAGAAGAGTCTGGGGACAAAGCAGAAAACCGAAGGGTCGCCGATCCTTCTAGGCTGGTCCCCCTCACATCCGAGGAACCCCCTTCCTCCCCAGATCACATACCTCTCCGTGCCCCAGCGCTCAGGGCGCTCCTTCTGGGCACTTCAGGGGCTTTTCCTCTGGCCACAGGTTCCTCAGCTGGGGGCCGGAGCCCCTTCTGCCCAAGAGGGCCTGGCCTGGGGACAAAAGGGTCTGCGCTCAGGACAGCGCTCCAGCTCCTTGTTTCGTCTCCCAAGTCTACATTTCCCCGTGGGTGAGGACATATGCCCTCTCTGCCAACCAATAATAGCTTTCACCAATTTGCGCCCAGTGATGAGCAAGTACTCCCACACACTTTAATTAAAAGCTTCCAGATGGAGACACTAACCCTTGCCCAAGGCAACAGGGGAGAGGGGGCTTGTTACCTGGTGGGCCCGCTGGCATGCCCCGAGCTAGAGATACAGCCTGGGCCTGGGGTCTTCGCAGGGGCCCGCTCCCCTCTCCCAGCTGCTGGGGGCCTGGAGGCTGTGGGGGGAAGGCCGAGTCAACGCAGGTGCCCCGGAAAGGAAGGGGAGGCTGGTGCTTCAGAGGAGAGGGGGGCAAGAAGATGGGGTCCGAATCAGGGAAAGAGGCTGGAGTACCTGAGCTCCGGGGGCCTGTCCCAGCACTCCGCGGTGGTCCCCCCCGGGGAGTAGCCTCCGGGAGAGCGGCTCCCCGGCTGCCCCCCGCTCGCTCTGCCAGAGGCCCTCGCCCTGAAGCTCCCGCTGCTCCCAGAACTCGAAGAGCCGCGCTGGTTACGGGGGGAAGGGGTCGTGGAGACCCTGGGGGCTTGGGGGTCGGAAGGTTGGGAGGGCGAGAAGAGGGCGTCCGACCGGCGGCCCCTGCCCTGGACTTGTCCCTCTTGTCCATCTCGCACCTGATGAGGAGACAGACCGATCAGCATCCCAGGTCCTGGACAGCTACGCTGCCTGCAGGGATCTGGGTCCTGGCACCTCTCGGCTCTTTCCCCAGCGTCGCCACCCATGCGCGCCCAAACCTCTGCCTGGATCCACTTCCTTCCCACCCACCCACCACTCACCAGCGCAGCTGCTCATGGTTGTCCCCAAGTCCCACCCTCACCGCCTTCCTCCAGGCCATGCCAGCCTCAGCCAACCCCCTGCTCCCTCTCAGGACCGGAGATCCACCCCCCTACCCCTCGGCCCCTCAGGGACCCTGACCACCAGCGTCGGGACAGGGGGCTGCCACAGGTTCCAGATGAAGGGGACGGGAGCACACGCCCAGGTCCCCCTCGCCAGCCACCAGCGCCGTCCCGGAGGGATGTCGGCACCTGCCGGGAGGAGGAGCGGCCCTGGCTGCCCGCGCACGGGCTCGGGGAGACAAAGAGCCGCGTCCCGAGCCCTTCCCCTCCCCCAGCTGGGCCCTGGTCCGCGCCACCCTTCCACCTGCTCGAGCCGAGCTCACCTTGGGCTCCGGCCTCCCGCCGCTCCACGCTGGGTCGCCTGGGGTGGGGCAGGGTGGGAGCGCCGCGGCGGCCGCGAGCGGAGGGCAGGCGAGGGGAGGGGGCGGCGGGCGGCGGCGCGGGGAGGCCGGCCGGCCCCTCGGCGGCGGGCGGGGGAGCAGGGGCCGCGCGCGCTGGATGCAGACCCGGCAGGCAGAGGCGGGAGCGCGCCGAGTAGGGCGGCCGGGAGCGCGTAGGAGGGAGGGGCTGCTTCTCCGCGGCTGCGCCTGAGGACCCCAGACACCCAACCGGTCGGGCTTCGGGGGGAATCCCTTGGGGTCCCGAACTCAGCCTAACCTCCTCTCCCCACCCCCTGCCATACACACCTGCCCCGGCCCCCACCCCAACTACTTGGCGACCAAGGCCCGCCTGGACGCGGATAGGTTGGGCCCTGGCAACCAGGGGGCGGGACCATCGCGCCTCGTGCCCAATTGACCAATCCGGCCGCTCGGTGTCCCAGGCCCTGTCCTCGCTTTTGCGACCGCAGAGGCAGGCCCCCCAGGATTCTTGGGGCTTCCGCCCCTCTCATACCCAAAGGGTTTTCACAGACCCCAGGAAACCCCGTACCTGGTTGGGCTAGGGGGACTGACTGGTGGGAGAATGCAGCCCTGGGAATGTAGGGGTAGACCCCAGATTTGGGGGAAGAGAGGAAGAAAGGACAAGAGCGAGAGATGGAGGATGGTGAGAGATGACCCAGCCTTCTGCAGGGCAGAGCATCCCCCCCCACTCGCCACACCCTCCCAGGTCACACGAAGTCAAGTCAGCAAAGGTTTCCTGGCAGAGCCGGGATTTGTGGGGATGAGATTATGGGGGGCCTGGAGGTGTAAAAACGGGTGCAAGAGGAGCCGAGAAGATCCCGTCTGAGGTTTCCCAGCCCAACCTGAGGGAGTAAGAGGTGTCATTTTGGTGACCCGCCAAACTGGTGCAGAGGCCTCATGGAGGACCTTGGTAGGGGACTGTGGCATTGAGGGGGTTGAAGCAAGAAGAGGAAGATGGCCATCCTCAGCTGCCCAGAGCTGGCCAACAGTGCCAGGTGCCCTCTTGCACCTCTGCTTATACTCAAGGCCACATGGCTCCCCACACACACACTCACACACACTGTGCTCTCTGCCCCCAAGCCCCATCTCTTCAGACTCTTAGTTACTCACTACCCCATCCCAAAGAACCAGCTCCTCCTGCCTCACCCTTTCCCCCATCACATTTGTACATACATACACAAACACAGCGTATCCACCGTATGATTCCATTTATATAATGTTCTGGAAAACACAAGCTAATCTATAGTGACAGAAAGCGAATCAGTGGTTGTTGGGGACCACCGGGGGAGGGAAACTTTTGAACCACCAATTGAAGCCACTCTGATCGATTCCTGACCCTCAGAAACTATGTGAGACAATAAATTCTTGTTGTCTTAAGGTGCTAGGTTTGGGGCAATTTGTTACACAGCACAGTAATATGTAACTACCTCAGGCTCAGAAAACCTTAAAAGCTGGGTATAACATATCAAGTGTTGGTGAGAATGTGGAGAAATTGGAACAGTTGTACTGTTGGTGGGAATGTAAAATGGTGCAACCACTATGATTCCACTTATATGGGGTCTCCAGAGGATTCAAATTCATAGAGATGGATGGTAGAATGGTGGGTGCCAGGAGCTAGGGAGAGGAATGAGAAATATGAGTTCAATGGGGACAGAGTTTCAGTTCTGCAAAACAAAAATCGTTCTGAAGATGGATAGTGGCGATGGTTGCCCAACACTGAATGTACTTAATGGCACTGAACTGTAAACTTAAAAATGGTTAGGATGACAAATTCTATGTTATGTGTGTGCTCTACCACAATTGTTTAAAACCTGGACAGTGTCCATGCGGGAAAACTCACAAACTACCTGTGGGAATGTAAAGGGGGCAGGCTTTCTGGAGGACAACTGGAAAGCATTGTATGCGTGTCATATGACTGAGACATTCCACTCAAGCATCTGTACCTGTGGCAGTGCCATACAGCTCCTTCCATATCTCCTGAGCACCCACAGTCCCCACCTGCAGGAAAGTCAGAAGTGTCAGGGCCTCAACACTCCCTCCATCCCCCTCTCCAGAGCAGCCCTCAGCCACGACAGGCAGGAGCTGGTACATCAATGCTTCAACTCCCTCACCTCTTGGGTGGGAAAACTTGGAGGTGTGTCCTCCACCATCTCCCAGAGCTCCCCAGCACAATGGAACCACAGTTGCCCATACTGGCAGCCTGCTCCTTCACCCTCATTAACACTACTGGCTTCCTTCCCTTCCCCACTGCCTCACCTTCCAGAGAAACTATTTGCATCTAATTCCTTGCCTCAGGATCTGCCTCTAGAAGGGCCCGAACTAAGCACCCATCCGTCCATCATTTACTGAATGCCCACTGTGCGCCAGGCACCATCCCAAGTGCTGGGGACACAGTAGGGAACAGAAGAGACACGTGTCTGGGGATCATGGGGCTTCGATTCCAGTCACCACAGAGACTCTTGCACAAGTGTGCAAAGCGTCGTTTATGAAAACACTTATCCCAACATAAAGCTGGAAACAAACCGCCAGGGTATGGATCTCAAGGAGCTTCTCCCGAGGCTAGAGGAAAGGGAGAAACTATTCACCTCAAAAGGCCCCTGCCCCCTTGCTACCACCTCACCTCACCCTACTTTGTTATATACACAGCGTTTGTCACAAACTGACATTACCTTGTTCCTTACTTATCTGCTTCCTTATCTCTGTCTCAGCCAACCGCACTCCACCCCCAATCCACACACACACCAAATTGAGCAGAAGCTCTGAGAGAGAAGGTTTGCCTTTGGGTAGCCTGTGGTCGAGCCCACAGGGACTTCTTCAAGGGTCGCGCCCATTGCAGGGTTTCACGGGGGAACTGAAGCTTAGGGGATCCCAACCCTCAAGGTTTCGGAGTGTCTCTACCCTGGTGAACTTGTTTTCTTTTTCCCCATGGGAGATGGGGTCTCACTCTGCCACCTGGTCCAGGTCCCCTCTCCCTTGAGTTTTGCAGACAGGGCAGATCAAGGTCAACTGCCGCCTAAGACCCAGCTCAGGCCTCCCAAAGTGGGGAGGAAATCGTGGGGGGGGGGGGAGGCAGAGTCTCCCTTTGAGAAGCCGGCCTTCCAGACTGGACTCCAACCCCGGCTCCCAGAGCCCTCTGACCCCCGTGCCCAACCCCACCAGGACCCGAGAGAGGCTCACTCCCTCTCCTCCCCCAGTGGAGAGCTTCCCCTGGCTGGGTGGTCAGAGCAGGAAGGGGGAAGCGCCGTGCCCTCTCTTGGGCCCTGGTCACTGATTCCCTTGGTTGAGCCTCCAGGCCAGGTAGCTGCACCTGGGAGTGAAGGGAGGAGGAGGGGAAGGAGGACTTCCACGCGTTCCTGACAGGGTCTATGCAGCTGGGCTCCCGGAAGCGTGCCTTCAGGTCGGCTTTGGGAGCCCAGCGCCTCCAGCCCTCCTCAGTTTCCCCCGTGCCAGGTTTGCCTCACTGAAGCGGAGCCCAGAATTCTACGGTCCCCGCTCCTCCGACCAGCCCCTCGCCCACCTCGGAGACATCAGGATTAGGATCGCCCTCCTCCCGCGATCCCGCGGTACCAGGAGTCGGGGGCGACCTGTGAGCGCCCTAAGGGAGGCGGGGCCGAGACGGCTGGTGGGCGGGGCCTGGAGGGGCGGAGCTGCTCCCGGCTCTTGTCCAGCTCGCCCGTCCGCCCGCCCTGACTCACCCAGCCTGTCCCGCGAACTCTGCGGGAGTCCCGGCCGCTCCGCTCCCAGAGACACAGGAGTTGGAACAAGCGTCCGGCCCGTGAGGTGAGTAGGTGGCTCTCCGCCCCTGGGGACCAGGTGGCGGGGTGAGGATCTGGCCCACGGGAGGACCGCCCCAGGTGCGGCTGGCCCTGTGACCTGAGCCCAACGCTGTCCGGGGCACAGAAGGAGCTGGGGGGTGGGCTGGGGGGGTGCAGAGAGAGGCCCCGCCCTGGCCAACCCAAGGGCGCCTGTCAGGGAGCCCGGCAGGCCTGGCCAAGGACGGAGTGAAGATAAACAGGCTGGGGTCCACCCGAGGGTCTTGACCGTGCTCCCCTCTCCTCTGCTGCTGACGACTCAACCCTGTGAGCCCCTCAATTCCCAGAACCCTACCACTTGGGAGCCTCACCAGGCTGTCCCTTCTGGGACTCTTGAACCTCAAGACTCCCCAGACCCCCCTAGTCCTGGCAGGACAGCTTGGAAAAGTACTGGGTTGGGAGTCCCCAGGCCTGGGGCCCAGAGCAGGATCTGCTACTACGGGGCCACCCTCCCCCATCCAGGCCACAGTTTCTCACTTGTGTAAAAGTCCAAAGTTGGACCCTGTGTCCTCCAAGACCCATTTCAGGGCTGACAACAGTCACTGTTTCTTCTTTGCCCCTTAGCATGGACTGTGGGTGGGGACGGTGTGGGATGGCGCGCTGGTCCAGGAGCACCCGCCACCGCCACGTGGTCAGAGGCAAGCCAGGGGCTTGGGGAAGGCCTGAGAGGGAAGCAGAAGCAGGGTGAGGCATGGGTGAGCGGAGCTAAGGCTGGGTAGGGGGCATGTTCCTGGCCCTAGGCTGAGGAGGACAACTCAGACTGCTGGGCAGAGCAGCCGTCCTCCCTCCATTTCTTCTCTGCCTGAAGAACCCCTTCTGAGGTTCTTTTGGCAAAGATGCTTCAACTCAGCGAGACGTTCTCGCTCAACAACGTGATCAGACAGACGGGACTTGGGGGAGTCTTGCCTCGAATGCCACTTGTCACAAGCTGTGACACGTTGAGCAAGTTATTTCACTCTCCTGAGTCTGGAAAAGGAGGGTCCCAACATCCACACTCCCAGAGCTGGGAAAAAATGAGACACTGAAGGCATCTGGTGGTCATAAGTTCTCTGCTCCCACACCCCCATGAAGCCTTCTCCCCAAGCCCTCCCACCAGCCCTGTTCAGACACAGGGGGGCCAGCCTTGTGTCTGGGGAAACTTAATGGCAGGTTCGGGACGATCAAGATTGAGTCATGGAGACAGATAATGATAACCCCATGT